CGTTACACGGATTATTTCTTAACATTACCGTTAGATCTAATAATTATATTCCGTTGCAAAATGAAAGAGCCCGTGGAGTCCAGGACGTAACACAAATGATTTTATTGTTTGTTCATAATACACACAAACAGCTATCAGTCTTGTTAAAAAAAATACTCTTTTCCTTCACTGGAGGAAAATCAAAAAAGAAAAATAAAATCATTTCCTTGACTTCTTCTTTCTGTTCTCTAGCTGCAGCAGTCCAGCAAGTACGCCCGTAAACCCTGCGTTGTTTTCTACCTTAACATTTGTGTATTGAGAATCGTCAGTTCTGATATTTCGATAATCTCTGAAATCGTCTTCGACGTTCGGTCCGGAAACCAAAGCGCCATAAAGAGTCTGCGGATTTATCACATTTTGTTGAATTATTTTCTGTTCACAAGGAGCCGGTTTACTTGGGCACGAAGACGCTAAGTGACGCGGCTGTTTTGGCGAAGTCGCATCGTATCCGACCACGTAACTTCTTCCTAAACAATTAGTTCGAAGATGTGGGTCGTTAACGCGGTCGTAGTAATTAGGTATTCAAAACAAAATTCAAAGTTGAGAAATCGCAAACCTCGTTTGGATCGTGCCAGTAATTAAGTAATCAATCGTCAAAAATGTAAAGATACTAATTTTACTGAGTTTTTTCGATTATTATTATTTTTTTTTTGTTTTTTCGATAACTTACCTGATCCCAGCATATAATGAATTTGTTGCTTGGCGAAAATATAATATCTTTTGTTCGAGTCGTCAGTGGCAGAAGTCGCCGCCACCAAGCAGAGAAAAGCCACGTTAGCGGCGAGAGGAAGAGCGTCTTCCTCGGAAAGATATACGAGACCTCTTCTCGTGCGCCGAGGATAGTTCGTCATGGTATCGCAAAATCTGTTACTCGCAGTGGCTAATTGTTTGATCATCTGAGCAACCACTATCTGCAGATAGTGGTTGCTCAGATGATCAAACAATTAGCCACTGCGAGTAA